ATTCCAGTGTTAGAATAAAATAAGGTAAATCTGACATTGAACACAGGTAGCCTGACTTTAGAACTCTTGAACTTCCAATCTTTTGGAAATAAATTATAATATGGGTTTCCCAATAGGTTCAAAGACCACTAAAAATGGAATGCTTTGTCACATTCAGATAGACAGGTCTATTTTTCATTATCTGAGTCAGATTCTTTGTCCTCAGTTTGGCTAAGAGTTTTATGGGCATCACAAACATCACTGGGACAGTGCTTTGTAATAAGGATGAAAGACAGAGAGAAAAATCCCAAAATACATTCTCTATCAGACTATCAGGTCAGAATATAAACAGGAAACTGGTAGGAAGAAAAGAAGGATGCTACTTTTAAAAACAGTTGACAAAGCTCATAAGGTAGCTATTTGTTTTATCTTGAACTGAAAATTCAAAATCACAATTTAGAATTGTTATCTTTTCTACTTTGCTATGCTATTTTTGGTTTGTATCTATTATGCTTGGATTATTGAATCCTTTCCTCACTGAGTTTTTCTCCCCTTTCCAAATCAATCTGAAAAATATTGCCAGATTAGTATTTCTGAAAACTGCTTCACATAAACCAATTTTAGGCACAGGGCAGCAAGTCCTATGTTGTGTCTAAAATGATCAGCCAAGCAGTGGACTGGAATTGCTTCTGTAGAGCCCTTAGAGGCCCAGCACTATCTATAGAATAAAGTTCAATGTCCACCTTCCACAGTCGGACACTGCCTCTTTCTGCTCTCTTCCCCTACATTCATGTACTTGAATCCTCTGCTCCAAGGTTACTAACCGAAACAGCTTTCCAAACCTGTCATCCACATTCTTATTACCCTGTCCTTATTCATAGTATTCTTTCAGCCTAAAATGTTATTCAGGACAGCTATACAAAACTTATCTTTTCTTACTGATACAGCTCAAGTCTACTTCTTGCCTGACCATTTCAGACACAACATAGAACTTTCCCACCCTGTACCTAAAAACTGGGCTGCCTTATTATTATTGTTGACAGTGCTTTGTGTTGCATTCCATACAAACGGATTTTCTTTTCTCAAATGAACAACTGCCTTAGGGAAAGACCATTGGCTATTCCCTTAATATGTTTTATGACACCAAATTCAGGTCTGTTAATACAGGCAGAACTTAGTACACCTTTATCCTGTTAATAAAACTCATGATCTAAAATCAGTCCAGAATACTGTATTAGTCATCTTTTTCTATCCTGAGTACATAGTAGGAAGGCATACCATCAACTTCTCTCCAGAAAATGAAGAATTTGTTTTGGCATTTGGTCTCCCTTGGTCTATAATGTTAAAAGGTTGAATTGGTTATACTAAGGTAATATGGTTTAGATTGCTTTCAGTAGAGCTTTGATTTTCTGAACCAAAATGAAAGCTTTATAACTTCATCATTTAAAAGAAGGCAATGAAAGCAGTGTTATATAATGAAGGAAATAAAACTTCTTAAAAGCAAAGAAATAAAAATGTTTAAATGAGCAAATTAAAATATTTTTATATTAGAAAAATCCAAATAATGATTTATTACAGTTTCATATTCATTCAAATCTGTGTTTCAGGAAGTGAGGGGAATTTTTTTTAATATGGAAAGGAGATAAAATAGCAAAATTGCTTTAAAATTGTACTGAATATACATAGAAGCAAATACATAAATACTGGCACAATTGGAAGAAAAAACAGAAGTGGTTAAAGATATGGCACTGCAATTTAAAATATGCGGATCCAATTTCAATTTTCCCTTTCTAGACACTCTCCTTATATCCACCTCCACCCACTCTCCCAGGCAAAACCAAACATACATTATAAAAACTGTAGGTATCTAATTCAAACCTCTCCATTTTATGAGCCTTCAAACAATTTCTATAACATAATAAAAATAATTTTGTTTCCTTTTGTATTTTTCGGACCCTAAATATTATTAATATATTTCTGAATGAAAGAATCTCTACATATAGAAGCCATTCAGTTTTCTCTTCATGTTTTCCTCTTAACAATTAAGGCCTCCCTCTTCAAAGCCCTAGTGGGGCAAGAGGAAAGAGGAACCATGATAATACCGTGGGCGCCCACTTTGCTTTTCAGGGATGCATTTCTGTGTAACCATTGAGCTCCTATTTGTGAAAAGGCAGAGCTATGTCTAAGAGTCACAATCCCTATTTTCCTTTACTTCAAATTCTAACTTCCTGATATAAACATATTTTCATGAAAAATGTTTTCAGAGGGAAGATGGGAAGTGGGAGTGAAAAATGTAATTTAGTTTATTTTATTTTGACTTTCATCCACAGTTATATCCTAGCTAACCAAGTTCTCTACCACCTTTACCTCAATGATTTACTCCCTGTGTTCAAGGCCTTACTGTGACCTCTTAGACATCCAGAGCAGAAAACTCTGGGTAATACGGTGTGTTCAGCAGCTTCCAAAAGCTCTTATTTCCTATCTTAATTTATGGCTTCTACCTCCAATGTCAAAATTGTCATGATCTGTTATAGCTTTCTCAATTTTTTGTCTGTGATTTGTGATAATGGATTTCACACCAACTACCATGTTAACCATTCCTAGAATATACATTATCTTACTTCTGTCACAAAGGTATGTTTTTGTTTGTTTGTTTTCAGAAATTAACCCAAGGAGCCACTAGTGAGGCAAACAGGCCTTTTGATACATTGAAAGACCCTTCCGAAAGATATCTCTTCTTACTTCACTCAGAAGTAGCAAATGTATTATTTTTCTTCTATCACATCAGTCAGTTGTGAAACATACAGTTGAATTTTTACAATTACAGGTTTTCATTTGACTAGCATAAGAAAAAATTGACTTTATTGGTAGTCCCTACGTCTGAAGAAGATTTAAGAAGACAGTATATATTAACTTAAATTTACATCATAAATATGTACTGTAAGGATGTCAGTTCACAGTAAATAGTCTATATCCAGGGGTAAACAGATTGCACAAAACATAACAATGGTTCTCCACTTATTTATAACATAAAACATATGCTAATATATATAATGTTAAAGGTTTTTTTACTTAAAAAATTAAGACATACACAAAAGTAGAGAGAAGAATATAGAAACACCATAGATTCATCACCTAGGTGTAATAATAATTATTTAGGTTTGTTACTCTTGCCCAATCTTTCTTTTTTTCAAATTTTGTTCTTTCTTCTTTGGACTGAAATATTTAAAAATATCAGACATCATGTCATTTCACTCCAGTGTATTTCAGTATGTTTCTCTAAAATAGAGGAGTATTTTCTTATATAACTACAGTGTCATTATCACAATCAACAAAAATTAGCAGTAATTCCTTGACACTGTTTCATTTCTAATCCATATTCAAATTTCCCTGTTTTCTTTGAAAAATGTCTTTTTTGAAGCTGATTTCTTCAAGTGAGGATCGAAATAAATTCTATGTGTTATGTCTTTTGAATATCCTTTAATTGAGAATAGGGCCCCTCCACCTTTTTTTCCCACTTTTAAAAATTTGTTGTAAACAACTGACTTAGTTGTCTTTTAAAGGGACTCACATTAAAAGTTTTCTTTTTTCCTTATGGGATCTGATCATGTATTTCCCTATCTTCTGTATTTTTAATAAACTCAAATTTAAGTACTTTTGTATAGAACAATTTATTATATGGCACTATAGGTTATTTACATGGTCATTCTATGTAGCTGTGGATATTTAAACAGGTGTTTTTGTCCTCTGCAATTGAGAGCCACACGTTTGTAAAATGCACCTCAAATTTTCTAGCAGTTAGGAGTTTCCCAGGATCTCCCTTCTATCATTGTCTCCTTGAAGCTGTTTCTTCTCAAATTGCACCCTCAAGAAATGATGTCTCTATTCTCCTGGGTGTCCTTGTTTCCTCTCTTTCTGCAAATTCTTGTGCTTTCTTTATAACATTTTATTTCTATTTCCTTACATTGAACAGGAAGTATAATTTCTTCCCATATTCCTTGTCCATTCATGCAAAATCCTTATTATCAAAGGCAAGACACTACAATTCATTTTGACTCAGGTTCCAAATAAACATTTAACAAACATTTTTGGGTGACTATTATGTGCCAGACTCTTTGCTAGCTTTGAGAAAATAGAGATGAATAAGTAAAAGACCATTCACTCTGGTGACCTACTGAGGAAGATAGGCAGCCAAACACACCACACAATATGACCTCAGTGCTCCCATGCCAATGCCAATTGAGTGCTGTGGAAACAAATGCTTCTAGCCTCTGTAAGGCCCATGAATCTGTTTATGGCTCTTTATAACACAAAGTTACAGACAGCACCTGCCAATCATTTGATACAGATTTGCTAGAAAAAAGAGCCAGCACCACATTTTCTGCTCCGTTCCATCCTATGACCTTTTTTATTTGTATCTACCTTTGACCACACCCCTTTGTTTCTCCTTGTCACCACACCCTGAGTTAGATCTCACATCATATTGCCACACTTCATATTACACAACTGTTTTTGCTTCTCTCTCTCTCTCTTTCCCCACTACTCCAAGAGTAGCAGGCACGTGTTAAGAGATGAAGCTAGTTTCGTTTCTTTTTATTTCAATGCAAGAAGAAATAGGAAAAAGTGGAGATAGAAAATGGAATGTTTGTGTTTTATAAATGAATAATTAATATTTATAATTTGTTAGAAATTAATTAAAGAAACTTTATTTTGGACTTAGATTTCCTAGCTATGTGCCCATCTACACGTGCTCAAGCTCACTTGCAGCCATTACCGAGGAAGAAAAAGGGAATCTTCATTAGTAGTTTTTCCTCTCCCCTGTCTATTGTTAGTTTGACAACTATATGGATACTGAAGAAAAGTATTTTACTGGATATCCATATTATATCATTGGACCCTCATTTACAATGCTGCAAAAACCTCAAAGTTGTCCTGCATAGTCAAGGTCAATCTTCTATTGTAGAGACTCCTGCATTCGATCAAGAGCCTTTCTATTCAGTAAAGATTTCCCAAATGCTCACCTGAAAGTTTATTTTAAATAGATGCAGTTGGTTCCCTGGAGAGGAGTCCAGTGTCACTAGCTCTGGATAACAGTTTTAGCTTCTAGTTTCATTTAGCTTCACAGGCCTTTTATCTGGAAAAAGAAATAAGAGCTAGAATGATACATAAGGAGGTGAGTGCAAAACTGCTTTTCCCTGGGAAGATTTAGAAAACTGACAGGCATGATGTTAAATCTGCCATATGGACGATAACATCAATGGGAGGAAATATTGCAGATGTTGTTAATATCTGAAAAAATAAGAAAGAGGAAAAAACCTTTTGTCAGAGAATATCTGTCTTACTAAAAATAGAATTTAAAGCTAGGACAGGATTTTCTACACAGGTCTTTGTAAAGGTCATATGACCCTCCACCTTGCATTCTCTTTATAGAAGAATTTTATTTCTACTGTGATATGTGCAATGACTGCTATTATCCTGTATGAGAACACATTTAAATGCCATGACAGCTCAAATTAAAATAGTTGGACTCTTTCCTACCACTGCTGTTAGAATAAATGACTAGTGTGCTGTAAAAATTGCTGTTTGGCCCCGAATTTTGCATAAGGTATAAAATGAGCTAAGTTGAAAAGAAATCTATCATATAGTAGAGCTTAAAGATGACAAACAACTTTTAAATCTTGGTTATGTTAAGATAAGAGCATATACATGTATGTGTGTGTGTGTGTGTGTGTGTATTTGTGTGTGCAGGAGTGAGTACCAATGGGCACACAAAAAGAATTTTATAGCACTTCTTTTCTACAGTTCATTCAGGTATGTGGCAAATCATGTGACCTCCAGTGAACTCATTTATAATGGGTTGAGAATATCCAAAGATGGGAAGACTGCTGGGAAGATAGCAGGAGATGCTGTAAGTGCAGCAGTACTTCCTGCCTCATTGTTCTTTGACCTTTTCTTCATTTAAAGTAGTGTTGGTACCTGGAGCAAGGCTGCTAGATGAGCAACATAAGAACTACTCTCTTTTAATTCAGTGGAAATATACCCAGGAAAGTAATGTTAATTTGCTATTTGTACTACTACTATCAGAGAAAACTAGGGGACATAATCATGTGACATAGAACTTACCTAGGAGTGTTCACCCTAAGATTCCAGTCACAGCTGACTTGTTTATTTGCTCTATTTTGTATTTAATGATGTTTGGCAAACCTTTAAGAGAAGGAAATTGAAATCTGCTACTCTGCCTTCAATACTTGCTCGTTGCTATCAGGGTACAGGATTAAAGGTGCTCACAGCGGGGGAAACACAAACTTCAGCATTTCTCTGGACCCAAGGGTAGTTATAATAGTCCTGGTATTATTTTGTTTAATCTGTCAATAAACCAATGATAGCTGGTTGCTTACCAATGGGGCGAAGCTGGGAAAAGACTCGCTGCTATCCTCAGTATCAAAAAAAAAAACAAAAAAACAAAAAACAAAAAAACAAAACCTCACCATCATCCGAATGAGTGATCCTAGTGTGAAGCCACGCACTTAATGACAACGAGGCACTCCTTAGTCTGCAGACACAATCAGGAACAGTCAGAGTTAGCTCTAGTTTAGAAACAGAATCTCCATTTAGAATTCCATTCATGTGAACAGTCTCCCTGAAGAGCTGACAAAAAGTATTCCCTAATAGAAAGAGAAAAGGGCACTCAAGAAGAAAACACAAGCATAACAGTTATGGCTCTTATACTTAGGATCAAGGCAGATCTTACTAACTCTCTTAGCAGACACTGGCTCATGGGAGTTTGTGGATAAATCCAGGGCAGAGCCAATGACGCATTATTCTCTAGACTCTGCCGGTGCTTGAGGGCCACCATCTGCTTGCTAATACTATAAAGGACAAAGGACAACATCATCAACCATGAGCAAAGACAGAGCATGCAGGGCTGCGGCCCCATGGCATTCACCATAGCGGGTCACTCTCCCCTTTCTCCCCGGTTCATTTGGCCATTCTGTCTAGAGAGCATCACAGACGCTGTGCACAACAGAGGCTTAAAGTAGCTACTTCACCATATCCAGAGGTTGAGAGGATCGAGTAAGAATCTAACTCTAATATGCTGTTAATACAGCTAATTACAAGGACATGTGTTGTTAGGGCCTCAGTTTTTTGGTATATGGGATGTCTTTTTTGATATATGCTTATCCAGGGCTTATCTTTCATTTCCTGCTGTTCCCACCTACTTAAGGTCAGATTTATCTGAAAGGGATTTTGGCATATGCATCTATAATTATGCCTATTAATTTTTTTTCTGTAAATACAGAAACAACACATTAGCCTTATCAGTGAAACCTTGGACCTCTTTACTGTCGGATTTTCAGCTTCCATTAGGATCATAGTAAAGCTAAGCTAAAGGAAGAAAAAAAACTCTCATTCTAAAGGTCAGCCTTGTTAATTAAATGAAAACTCAGGCAGCAGCATTAGAAAATGAAGTGACTGTAGCCTGTGCTCTTTGTGAGGGGACCCTACAGAGTATCCAGCCCATGCTGCCAAAAGCATGGCAAGCTGAATTTTCCCTGGATGGATAAGAGGCTGCTGCGTTACAGCGGTGGTTTTTCCTTTGCAAGCAAGTGGAATTGATTGTGTGTCTGTTCTTGAAACTGTTCCATCTCTAGCCCACCTCATTTTCACCTTCTCTTTGATTTACCACCACCACCTCGCCATTCCCTGGAGTTTCCTGCTTTCCCACCACTATGTTTCAGCTGAAGCCAATGTGAAGAAAAAAATCAGTAACAAGGTTCTGGGTTGGGTACTTTCACATTTATAAGTTCATTACCACCTCTTTTTATAGAAAAGCAAACTGACCTTCAGAGTTGTTAATGATTTGACCTGAGATCACACAGCTAGTGAAGTATGAGAGTAGACTAATCTATCTCCAATGCTCATTCTCTTTCCATAAGAACAAATGTTTGTATTGTTCTCCTTCCATTCCCACTGCCTTCATTCATAAAAGTTTCCTCCTGCTACCCAGGATCACACTGCACCCTCCCAGCGCCATAACAGAGCTGATTCTATCTAGACCTTCAGCTTAGTACTGTCCTGCCTCTTCCTTGATTTTGTTATTTTTGGATAGGTTCTTCATCCCTTCTACTTGGTCAGGAGCTCTGTGAAGTCCTCAAACAAGTAAATAAAGCCATGAGAAAACTGCACGTTTTGAGATCGGCAGTTCATTCTAGTCCCCCTCATTTCACGGTTGTATCATTTCTATCGTTCTCCAACAAAATAGCCACAAAGAGTCACATCATGACATTGCTCTCCATTTCAAAAATTAAAATATTCTCAATCTATGATTATTTGATTGGTTATACCTAAATTCAATCAAATAAATATATTGATTATATCTTTTCCTGATAAATATAAAAACAATATGATTAAAACTATCACATAATCCTAATGAGTTAGAAAATTTTTCCAGACTCTCTTTTTTTTGCTATAAAGAAAGGCTTTAAATTAATTATACTTATTAAAACTTTTGGATTGGAGGGTTTTCCAGAGGATGAATTTGTGGTAGGCACAGCTGTCACACTGTGCAGCTCCATAGTGCACTATCTGCATTGAGCTCCAGGGGGAGCAATTGAGATTGTGATTGTGATGGTATCTTCCAAAGCAGAAGGTAGTGAAATGATAAGGTTTAAAACGGTGGTTTGCATATCTGGCTGTAATTAGAACTATCAGCGGACCGTTTAGGACTGCGTTTCACTCAAGGCAATTAAGCCAAAATCTCGAGGTGGATCAAGGCATCAGTAACATTTCAAAACCGCTCCTGTAAAGCATGGGATCTTGGAGACATGAAACCCAAAGTTGAATCCTAGTTATGGAACTCTCCAAATTTCGTTTTCTTCATCTGTAATAAAATAAGGCTAGAAATTGTTCTTACTTTATAGAATCGTAAATATAACCCTTAGCATTGTACTTCTAGTTAACATTTCAAAGTAATTAGTAATCACTACTGTTATTATTATGAAGAAACATATCACTACTGTTCTAATACCTAAATGTCTTTAAAAATAAAAAAGGATAATAAACTACTAATTAAGCCAATTCTTTTCTCAGAGATTCAAAGGGCATGTAAAATATAATTTATATTGGATGAGTCATAAGATAGTTCACATTCAGCTGAATGTGTAGAAATCCTACTAAACTTGGAAAGTGGAGAATTCTACTAAAGACAGCACCTTCTACAATCTGACAATGAAAACCCTGCCGTTGGAGTTTTGCCTTTGGTGAATTTATCTTTTCATTCTAACCACTCTGCACTTTGTTTAGTATATCAATGTTACTTCAACTCTCTCTCAAATGCCAAGCATGAATTTATAGTGATTTGTTAGTTACCCCTAGTGATTACAGGTACTTCAAAGTTAACCTCCTAAGCAAACCGCTTCACAATTTAAGCCCAACCAATAGCAAGCCCTGTCAATTACATTTCATGAACATCTGGCAAGCATTAATCCTCTTCTCCATCTTCTCTGCAAGGCTAGGGATATCTCTTTTTTTTTTTTTTTTGTACTGCGTTACCTGCTAGTGATTCCTAATTAATCCTCTTATCTAGAAATAACTTCATAAAAAACAAATATTCACAAATCACTTCTGCTTTAAATTTCTGTTTACTTCGTTATTACCGACAGAATCAAGTCCAAAGTCCTCAGAGAATAAAAATTTTCAAGATCAGATTTTCATTAAATTTTTCAGAATCCTCCGTCCACCCACCACTTCTCGATAAATGTCCTGATCTAATCACTCTGAATTCCACATGATCTCTAACTATGCCAATGTGTCTTTGCATACAGTCACCGTTTTCTTTTCCTAGCTAACTGCTAATTATCTTTCAAAGCTGAGATCCTGTGTAATTTGGGGGGTGTTCTTTTATTCTTCCTCTAAGCAGCATGTGTCTTTCCCTTTTCTGTGTTATTAGGCACTTACTGTGCTTCAGTGAAATTGATCATTTGTATCCTTCTCACTCAATGGTCTGAAGGCTCCTTGAGAAGAGTCTAGGACTAACTTAGTGGTCTTAACTTTTACCTTACAGACAGTGAAATGAGGATTTAGTTAAAGTTTATTTCATTACAAATGAGACTTGCTGAACTGTGCTGAGGAACTAAGGAACTAAAAATTCTAGTTGTAACAAGAACTCAGAATAAAGATTAATGAACTATGAGACACGTGGGTATTTCATTCAGTGTGGATTGGGAAAGATTTCTGTTGAAGCAGAAACATTCTACCCTCCCCACCTATAGCTTAACATGAGCTGGAAAAGCTGAGAAGCATCCAGAAATGATCTTGAGTTTACTGTGGAACTAAAGAAAAATGAAATTGTATACCACTCAGTCACTGGTATTGACACAAATACATACATTAAAGAAAGCAAAATCACACATTATTCTCTAGGCTTTTTATTTTTAATCATCTGTAGTGCATAATGTTTGTGCATGAGTTTTAAATTAATACATGTTAGATCATAAGGAAAACATAAACATTTACTCTACAATTTGTTCTCCAATATAGCTTTGGTTTTGGACAATGGAGACTGAAGAAAGGCTTTTGAAATGATCAGACATCTCTAACTTTTTCTTCCCTGGAATTCCAGATCAATCATGTTTTTAGAAAGCTAAATTAATTAATAGGATATGGTCTTCACTGAGAATATTGTAGATTAACTATCCATAACAAAAAATGATAATGAATTAATAGTTATTGAAAACCAGTAAATTTAACCAATTCATACTTTGCAAGTATCCCTCATGTTTGACATTTAAAGCAAAAGCTAAGTTGTGCTGTGATCATCTAGAACAGCTGGGAATCATACAAATATCTAAGCCATTTGAAAAATGATTATTGAACCAAAAATTAAAGTGAACATGGTAGAATCAGCTGGTGTTACAATGGATGCCCGTTAGCATTGGTTTTAGACTCCCTTCCTTATCCTCAAGCAAGTATATTTTCTCCAAAAAAAAAAAGTGGAAACAGACACACACACACACACACACACACACACACACACACAAAACTGAGAAACCCAAAGAAATAAATAAGATGGGAAATGAGAAAAAGGATAAAGAAAATGATGGAACAAGACAAGGAAAAAGCAAGAAACAGTCATAGTAACTTGTCATCAAGCAATAAGAAGCCTGTACAGGACTTGGACCCTAAATCAGCTCTCACGTTACTCTTCTTACATTTCACTTACCATTGCAAGGCACACTGCAGGCTGGTGTGTCTACCTTAGATCCCCTTCAGAAAACTGAGAGATTATGAATAGAGCTACCGTGAAAAAGAAGAAAGGGCGCATTATCACTGACCCTGAAGTAGATGCACATAAAACTTCATGACCAAAAGAAGCTTTCTTGGTAGGTTCCCCAAGACCATTGATGTTACAAACCACTGTTTCTCAACTGTGCCACAGGCTCAAATCACCTAGGGAGCTTTAAAAAATATATATCCAGGCGCCTCCCTCAGAGAGGGGTTTAATTGGTGTGAAATAGGATTTGCTGTTTTATTTCACTTTTTAAAATTTCTAAATGATTATAATGTGATGTGGGGCTTAGAACCATCTTTACAAAAGAAAAAAATTCAAAAAATATGCTGCTGGCTTATTTATTGCTAAAAC